TGCATGAGAATCCATTTGAAGGGCCAATACCTTCTTCAATAGGAAATTTGAAGACGCTTTACCATCTAAATCTTATGTCTTCAGGACTGAATTCCAGCATTCCGGATGAACTTGGCCTCTGCACCAACCTCAATTTTCTTGACCTATCAATTAACAGTCTGACAGGTCCATTGCCTCTTTCCCTGGCTTCCTTAACACAAATAAGACAGCTAGGAATCTCTAAAAATCAGTTGTCTGGAGAAATACATCCATCTCTGATATCTAACTGGACACAACTCATTTCCTTGCAGCTCCAACAGAATGCTCTATCAGGAATAATTCCCCCTGAAATTGGATTTCTAAGAAACCTCAATTATCTGTATATCTATGATAACCAACTATCAGGTCCTATCCCTCTGGAAATTGGAAATCTCTCTAATTTACTAGATCTTCAGTTGGCCGCCAACTTTTTGACCGGTTCCATCCCTTCTACCATTGCAAACTTATCAAACCTCGTGTGGTTCAGTCTGCATAACAACACAATCAATGGAACAATTCCTCCAGAAATAGGTAATATGGTAAGCTTAGAAGAACTTGACTTGAGCGAAAACAATCTGCAAGGAACCTTGCCCTCATCAATAACCAGTTTGAAAAAAATCAAACTTTTCTACGTTTCATTTAACAATCTGTCAGGATCCATTCCTGAAGATTTTGGTCCTAGTTCCTTGAAAAACATTAGCTTCGCTTTCAACAACTTCTCTGGGAAGCTTCCTCCTGGGCTTTGTGGAGGTGGCAATCTCATCTACTTAGCAGCCAATGGAAACAAGTTGGTTGGTCCTATTCCACAAAGTCTTAGAAACTGTACAGGGCTAAACAGAGTCAGACTAGGGCGAAACCTTCTGGATGGAGATATCACAAATGCATTTGGCATATACCCCAACCTCAAATTTATGGAATTGCAAGATAACCAACTTTCAGGTGCGTTATCATCAACCTGGGGGCAATGCAAAAGTCTCTCGGACTTCCGTCTATCTGGTAACATGATAACAGGTAAAATTCCACCAGAACTTGGAAATTTGTTGGAGCTGCAGTATCTAGACCTTTCTCAAAATCAACTGACTGGCAAAATTCCACCAGAGTTGTTCAAAACGTCAGTCCTAACCAGATTAAACTTGAGCAACAACCACCTCTCAAATAAGATACCCAGAGAGATGGGAACTCTCTCACACCTACAAGTCTTGGACTTATCAGGTAACAATCTCAGTGGTCCAGTACCAGAAGAACTCGGGGATTGCCAAGCGCTGATACTCTTAAAACTGAATAAGAACAAATTGAATGGGACAATTCCGTTTCAGCTCGGGAATCTAGTGGCCATGCAGTCTGTTTTAGACCTCAGTCAAAATTTACTCACAGGAAAGATTCCCCATCAGCTTGAAGTGATAGATTGGAAATTTGAATCTTTCTCGCAATCACCTTTCAGGTGAAATACCTTCTGCCCTTCAGGATCTTATAAGCCTTCAATCTGTTGATGTATCACACAATAATCTTGAAGGTCCACTCCCAGACAATAAGGCATTTCAGCAGGCTCCTGCTGAGACACTGGCTGGTAATCCGGGCCTATGTGGTGGAGGACAAGGTTTGAGTCCCTGCAATGAACTTACTTCATCCAGAAACCGTAAGAGCAACAGATGGAAACTGATCATTGCAATAGCAGTTCCCCTGGTTGCTTCAGCAAGTACCTTAATAATTTGTGGAATTTTCATTTTCTGGCGTCATTCAAGAGTTAATCAGGATCGAGATGAAGAGAACAAAACTTCAAATGGAAAGTTCTCATTGTTTGTGTGGAATCACAATAAGAAAATAGAGTTCCTGGATATAGTAACTGCAACAAACAACTTTGATAACATACATTGCATAGGAAAGGGTGGACAGGGAAGTGTCTACAAGGCAGCCCTTCTGACGGGTGACATCTTTGCTGTAAAGCGCCTTCACCCTTGGGAGGAAGATGAATTCTCTCACGAAGACCAGATGAAGAATTTAAAGTCCGAGTTGCATGCCTTAACTGAAATTCGACATCGGAATATTGTAAAGATGTATGGATTCAGTTACTTTGAAGGATCCATGTTCCTTGTCTCCGAATATGAGGAGAGGGGCAGCTTGGCTAATCTACTACAGTGGGATGCAAAGAAACTGAATTGGGGTATGAGGCTGAAGGTTATCAAAGGAATTGCTCATGGCCTCTCTTACCTGCACCATGATTGTACACCTGCTGTTGTACACCGAGACATATCAGGAAATAATATCCTCTTGGACACGGATTTTGAACCCAAGATTTCTGACTTTGGGACAGCAAGGCTCCTCAGAGAAGGCGAGACTAACTGGACAACTCCAGCTGGCTCATATGGCTATATGGCACCAGGTATTTCTTCAATCTCACTTCACCATTGAACTTTATGAATCATACACTGCTCACTACTAACAGCAAAACAACACCCGTTGCGATGAACTAAGAAAACGAACCTTAGAAAATATGATCCTAATCCCTGAAAATGCTTCCAAGAATAAGCACAGCAGAGTGCATCTCCTTAAATTCTAATGTTTCCACTAACTCCTTTCTCATGTTCTTCCCTGTTGCAGAGCTTGCATCTACAATGAAGTTGACAGAGAAATGTGATGTATACAGTTTTGGTGTAATTGCCCTAGAGGTCCTAATGGGAACACACCCGAATGAACTCCTCTCTAGTCTCCAATCCACAGGAGGGTATGATCAGCTCTTCTCTGACATTCTTGACAAAGGACTGACACCTCCTTCTGATCAAGTTGCAGAAGACCTTGTTTTAGCAGCAAGCCTGGCTCTAATATGCGTGCGTGAAAATCCAACTTCACGACCCACAATGCATCAAGTGTCGAGAGAATTCTCAGTGAGGACATATCACCGACAATTAGCGCATTTCAATAGACTAACATTGCAGGACGTAATAGATATAGTTCCCAATTGACTAGCAAAACCTTTTTCCTGCCCCTTACCAGTACATGAACCAATCCACGTATATATATGATGTTTGATGAATAAAACAACAACTATGCACGCGTAATTGTTTTTAGGTTAAGTTTCAGTCACATAATATGAATAACTATCTGTATTTTCTTGTTTCTTTTTTTCTCCTCCGACAATTTGGGGAACAAATATGTTGCAACCGAAGAAAGCAGGTAAAGAGAAAAGAAGTAAAATGATCTGAAACCAAACTTACTTGAAGGAGATGAAGAGATCAAAAGCTGTGCGATTAAAATCAGTCCTGTATTACTAATTTACGGAGAAAACCTGATTACTTCTCCAATCTCTCATTTACTTCCCCGCCCGATTTGTGGCGGACCGAATTTTAGTATACTCCTTGGTTTGTCAGCCGTCTGTCCCAAAACGCAACCGTTTTAGTAAAATGTAGGCTACGTGGCTACTAGGTACTACTCTCCAGATAAGCTCTTTAAAATTTAAGGTTAAATTTTAAATTAATTCCTTAATTTATAATTCTCTTCAATTTATATAGAAATTTAAATTATATGTTATAATAATTTTTTTTTACCAAGATTAAATTAAGTTTTGATTTATCTCCATGAATGACTTTTACATTTTTACTTGAGATAACATTTGAGAATTAAACAAATACAGAGAATTAATTCCACATCACAAATCAAGAATTATATGTAACTCGTATTGCATTGACAATTTACCAAATCAATAAAAGAATTACAACAATGACAAACAAAATTCACACAGTAATTCCCAAAACCAAACACAAAAATAATTAAACACCAACAAAAATTCCTTCAATGATCTTTTCAATTTCAACACGCATTGGATGAAGCTGCAGCGGCACCTCTTTCCAGAGCTCTCTCCAATCTCGTCTCAAATGGGGTTGAATGCCAATTCACTCTTCTATCCTGTACATATACGTACACCCAAAATGTGTTTATGTTATGAGAACCCACCATAGATAAACAACAAAGAATTTTTGCCCAGAAAATTATTCTACCTCTCTGTACTTGCTGGTAGTGTTTGGTATTCCTTTGAAAGAAGCAGCAGAAGCAGAAGAAGGATCCATGGTGGAAGATACAGTGTGGTTCCAGTAAGTCCCAACAGTCCCTATTATAGGTGTCTCGTCTGGACTTTTACTTGGTGACCTCTTTGGGGAAACAGAGGAAGCAGAGAACTGTCTGATTTCCTCTAGTGTAAGAGCACCTAAGATCGGCCTATCTTCTTGGCTTCTTATTGAATTTGATCCAGGCGTAGAGGGTTTGAAGTTAATTGAGCTGTTCTTGCTCATAGGTGTGGTTTCTGATGAAGATAACCAGGTGGAAAGACTGGCATCAACAGCCACTTCTTGTAATGATGATTTCTTGGGTTGATGTTGATGATGATCAGATCTTGAAGATTCTTTCAAGTTAAATGGGATCTGAGTTTCTTCATCCAAGCTTAAATTCTCCTTTTGTGGCTTCAATGGCGGTGGTCCTTTGCCTTTTTCTTTTACTGCTTTCCATTGAGTAAGATTTTCAACTGGGTTTAACACAGAATGGACATAACCACTCCTGTCTCGAGCACCTCCATTCCTTCCCATCTCCTTCATTCCTTTGAGCCCTTCTTCTTCCTCCTCAATCTCTTCTGTATAAACCCTTTTAACCCGACAAATCATATCCTCATAATACCCGTCATCGTCCTGGTCATCAAGCATACCATCATCTTCATCTTCAAGTTCGCTTTCCTCATTGTCTAATTCATCTTCCTCATCGTCACTTTCTCTACAATTCTGGTACCTATGGTTTGGAGGGTAAGATCCGGAGCTTGACGTGACTGAATTATTATCATCAGAACAATACTGAGATACGGTTGGTTTCACTAGATCCTCCCTGTTCTTGCTAGTTTCTTCTTCTTCTTCTTCTTCTTCTTCTTGCTCCAGTGAGAAATCAATAGATTCATCAGGCCATACATGCTCATACGTCTTGACATTGGTATCAAAAGTTACTTTCTTTTTACTAGCCGAGCTTAATGGCTCCTCAGGCTTACCACTGCATCAATCACAGGAAAGGGAAACACAACTTTGAAGGGAAATTGGTGAAAGTTTCTCTTTTTCTGTTTTGAAAAGACGAAAAGGGAGAAAATCTGAAAGAAAAAGAAAAAAAAAAGGTTTTAGTTACTCGCCTGCTTTCCTTAACTGGAGTTGTGGGTTTTTCTCGCAAGTCCTGTGCCAAAGAAACTATGGATGGTTCAAGATTGTTTCTTGGAGTTCTTTGCAACTGTTATACAAGAAAAAAAATTAGTTCAGACTAAGTAAAGTTTACTGTTTGGTTGCCGAGAAAACAGAGGAAAAAATCTCAAACTTATGAGCTATCGCTGATACTCCGCCGATCCACATTCAACCGTTTTACAGTTTTAGAAACAAATAGAACTAAAATCTTGGGTATCGTTATTTTCTCTCCTGTTTTCCCAGAAACCAAACAAATTCCAAATTTCGTAAACAAAAAAAAAAAAGAGAAAATAGACGCTTACATGATCCCTAGGCTGAATCTTGTGTCTCTGTTTTCGACGTTTGCGATCTTTGGCGGCACCAAAACACCCAAGGAAACAACCCATTACGCAAAACCTCTTTCTTTTCCCGCTAATGATCTCGAGAGAGACTGTGAAATAGAAAGAGAAAGAGAGAAAGCGTCTTTTTGTTTCTCTATGGAGAAGTTTGGTTAAACTCTAATGGCGTCTTCATAGCTTTACACAGAGGAAGACGAGGAGCGTTTTCTGATGAGAAGAAAAGGAGAAGCGTGGGGGCGAAACGGTCAATTAATTTCAAGTGTTAGGGGTGGGCGCGTGGAATTTTGTATATTTTATTTTCATTTTTTTTTTTTTTTGTTATTATTTTTTTAATGACCAAAAGATCAAGTGACCGTTACAATTGGGACACAGGCTGTAAATTTCGGAATTTCTTATTTTGGATAATTTTATTCCTTAATTAATCTTGACCGTTGATTTATCAATGTGCGGTGGATCTTGCGACTGCCAACTTTTTATAAACGATTTTGCAGCCCATTGTTCTGCGCTTCCCCTGGCTACTTTTATCAACGGTCCAAACACGATTGTTGTGTGTGTTTTCCTGTTTCGGCTTGTTGCCTCAAATACCCTCTGTTTGGCAACTGGCATATGACAAACCTCGTTTAGTTTTCCACACAGTGATATGACATATCACTATATATTTTTTGACTGATTATAGTTCCAAATTCAAACTTTGGTTATCTCATATCACAACACAAAAGTCGGTCCAAGGTTATAATTCTGCAAAATTAAATTTTAAATTCAAAAAGAATGGGAGTCACTAATAATTTACTTAGGATAGAGTTGACACCAAACTATGCATTAAATTTTATTCGAAATAATCTAGGTTTAAAACAGTATCGAATATTAAAAATTGAAGCAGTCATTCAATAATATATACATATTTATTTTAAATTAAGAAATTCTTACATCTAAATTAAAATAAAATGTTCGAAATTTAAATTTAAATTTAAGTATTTGAAGTAAACTACGATCAATTTTATTTTATTTTACTTACAATATGAAATTATAAGATAAATTTTTCTATTAAATTTTTTTGTAATTATGAATTTTAATAATAACGAATTCATATAAGTCTCGAACTCATTTTGATCTCTAACTCATCATATAATCCAGTCACAAATTTATTATTTTCATAATAATTTATTTAAAATAAATAAAAAAATCATATAGATTATTTTGTTGGAACAAATTTGTAGTTTGTGAATGTGACTTACTATTAATATTGTTAATTATAATAACTAATACATATAAAATACTTAATATCATGATAAATTTATCATTAAAAAAATAATTAAATTTAATTTATCATTTATTAACTATTTTTAAGGCCCCAATAAATGCTCCTTTTTAAAATTTGTTCATTTACATTTCAAATAGAGAGGTAAATTTGGTAGCATGCTATTCAACTCAAGGATTTACGAACTTAAATATGATAACTATTCAAGAAAACACAAAGGAAAAAGAAAATGAACATGATTTGTTAAAAATGTAAAGTTTGATTCGAGTGGTTACATTTTAAATTTACGTTTAAGTTTAAAATTTAAAAATTGTAAATTTAATAATAATATATGATTAATGTAGAAATTTAGTTGAATATTTCAAGGTTTGTAAGTTTAAATTTGGTTAAAATACTAAAATATTTATACAAACTATATAAAAATGTATAAAAAAATTCATTTTATTCAAAATTTTCATTGAACTTAAAATATATATTTTTTTATATTTATTAGTTTATACTAATATTGTTTAGACGTGTTAATTTATTACACGAGATATAAAACTATAATATATGTTATAAAATATTACTAAAATGATATAAAAGAGTTATAAAAATATACATATGGTTGTTGATGAAACGTCAATATAGATACCATATCA